AAGTTATATTTCAAGTTGTTTTAATGAAAGTGTTAAGACTTTATTAGCAAAGAAGTATAAAAACTTCTTGTGAACATTTTTTTTGTATGTGATCAGAGGATCAACAGAAAGAGTTTTTCAATAATAATATTAATATTATTGATAATAAGAAAAAAAAGTTTATAAAAATTTTTTTCTTTAATAAAACAAATCTTAAAAAAAAATAAAAAAAATTTTTTTATTAGTTCTTTGACTATATACAAAAAATTGTTTGCAAAAAGTTTTTACACTTCTTTACTAATAAAGTCTTAATACTTTTCTTAAAATAACTTAAAGTGTGACTTAAAAAGTTACTTTTATTCTTTTCCTATTGTCTACAAATCTCTTTAATCAAAAATTTGAGAAAAATCTAGTAATACTTTTGATATCAATAACAAAAAAGTTTTTAAAAAAAGAAAAACTGATTGTAAAGTATCTAGAGACCTTTCTAACTTTTAAAACAAGAGATTTATAAAGGTTTTCTATAATAAAAAGACTTATTTTTTTTCTTTTTAACTGTCTTAATCCTTTTAAAGCTTTTACTTTCATGGTTTTCTAGAGAATTTTGCCTATTTCAGTTTGATTCTGAATTTTAAATAGCACAAATCCTTATCAAAGATAATTGATAATACAAAATATATCAGTTTTTGAGATATAAAAAACTCTTATTAATTATACTTATGTGTTTTGATACATTATTAATAATATAGAAAAGAAAATTTTAAAAAAATATTTTTTTCAATTGTATATATTCAACTTTAGAAAATAATTATAATACTAAAAGACAAGTGTAGAAAAAAGAAGAATTAATTTTTATCTTTTATTAAAATCCTCAGGTAGTAAAAAGATTTTTTTGGACAAAAGTTAAAGTCTTTAAGCTTCTATTCCAATCAGACAAAGTTTTTAAAAAGATTTTTTTATTCCAATTAAACAAACTCTTCTATAATATGGCATTAGTTCCAATAGCATTAAACAAATCTGTATATCAATAGAAGAATAATTTTTTTAAATATTTTTCTTAAAATTACTTTCAAGAATAGTTAAGTTTTTCAAATATCATAAAGCTTAAAGGATATTTTAATTAGGTAACTTCTTTTAAGAGAAAACTGTAAAATGGAACTAGAATCTTTTAAAAGGCTTTGAATTATATTTTTTTTTTTCACTTTTCCAATACTATACTTTAACAATTTATTGTTTTTCAGAATAATTGACAATAATAAACTATTTACAATAATCCTAATAATTAAAGATCTTAACCAAACTACTAGAAAAGTATAATATTGTTTTCTAAATTTGACTTAAAATATCTAGTTTAGACTTAGTTTTATTTAATTTAAACTAATTTAGTAAACTTCTCATATTTTTTAAATAGTATAGTCTTTCAACTAATAATATATAATAACAAGTTAATCATTTTGCAAAAGTCTATAAATATTATGGTATTTTTCAATATTTCAATAAAGACATACTATTGTGACATGATTATAGGTTAAAAAAAAAAATTTTATAATATTAAAAAATAAGTAAAGAATTATATAATGTTTTAACTTTTATATTTTATTATATTTATTAAATAATATAACGATTTTTTTGAGATTTTTTTATTTCAATTTCAATTAAACAAATTTTTGAAAAAACTTTTTTATTTCAATCCAACAAACTTTTTTTTAATATTATACAAGTTTTAAAGATATAATAAATAAATCTATATATTAATGGAAAAATAAAATTTTTAAATATTTTTAAAAAATTTTATAAAAATAAATAAATTTTTTAGACAATCCGAAGCAAAAAAAATATTTCAATTATATAAATTCCTTTTAAGAAAAGATTTTATTTTTATTTTAATTTTTAATTTTCTCTTTTTTTAATATATTGTTGTTTTTAAAATAATTTAGAATAACAAACTATTAACAATAATTTTAGTAATAAAGATTATTGGTATCAATCTATCAAGAAAATGGAATATAAATTTGATACAGAGTATCTAATTAAGATTTTATTTTAGCTTAATAAACTTCTTATATTTTTAAAATAGCGTAATCCTTCAAACTAATAAATAAGTTAGCTGTCATGTGATCAGTATAAATAATATCGTAGATGTTTATTTAATGTCTCGACGATATGATGACATAATTGCGGGTTAAAAAAAATAAATAAAAATGACTCTGACTCTTAAGAAAAATGTTAAGACAATTGTTAATCTAGAAGTCATTTCTTTTTTTGTAATGAAAAAAAATTTTTTATTTAAAAAATTTTTATGGTTTAACACGGTAATTACAGTATATCAAGGGATCAAAGTACCATTACGTTTAATAATAGTTAAATCGATTCTTTCCTACCTTTTCATTATATCATTATTTCGTGAATTTTATAATAAATAAATGCGGAATTGGTACACTAATACTTTAGTGAAGTCATAAGATCTATACAAAAATTAAACCCTTGTACATAATTTCGATATCTTTTGATGCTATACTGTATAACATAGAATTAGGTAAATGTGCCATTGTGTCATAAAACTCACATGATCTAAATTGGTTTATTAGTATTCATCGCTAATCTTTCTAGCGTTTTCATAAAGTAATATGTAACATTGAAATGCAGGCAAAAAAGTATTTAACTCAACTCTTTTTGTGTTAAAAAGAAGAAATCTTTTGACTAATTGTAATTCCCATAGCACAACTGATAGAAAACTCTGTAAACTATATGTGCGAACCGAAGGAAATTGCCAGTATTCGGGCTCTCCCACCCGAATAAACCAAGCATCTCGGACGAAAATAAAAAAAAAAAGTCAAGATAAATGAAATGGCAAAGAATCTGAGGGAAAGTGCAACGCTGTATATTATCTAAGATGTATCGCTACTTGAACCCTCTGAATCCGATCCAGATGAATCTGAACTTTGACTGTCAGAGGAAGAGTCGTCACTCGAACTATGACTGCCAGAAGAACTACCATTTGAATTATCGCGATTTCCGTTTGAAATTTCAGCGGTCGGTGACATAAGTTTTTGATCAAATTTTACTAACGCATTTTCCAAGGCCTTGATCTGTTCTTCATTTGATTGACTAGCAGAATTTGTGCGAAGTCTTTTAGCAGGCGGTTTTCCTTTCTTTCCTTTGACTTCTTTAGGAAGATTACTCATTGTATAATCATAAATCTCCCTGGCCAACTGAGGATCGAGATCATCGATTTCGAAAGACACCTCGCCTTGATCATCCTCCTCTATCGGTGCGTTTCTTTCCCTTACCAAATTAATGATATGTGCCATGGATTCTTTTGAAAGCATAATAATCTTTTCAGAAAGAATCTTCTTCTGATGTTGTGTTAGTTTTTTTTTTCGAGCTTTTGACTTTGGTGAGCGGGGACGTTTCAGAGGTTTTAATTTACCAACTGATACTGACTTTCCATGAATCTTACTAGAAAGTTTGGCCATTTCATGTTTCAGAACCTTCCTTGATTTAGAAGATTTACTCTTTTTGAACATTTCAATCTCCTCTTGTATGGCTTTCAAATGTTCTTCCAATCCCCTCCTCCATTTTTCTTGACTGTCGCTTTCATCACTTGAAAACTCACTGGTATCTGAAGAATCGTCAACCGCTGTTTTTGAGCGAGATGATTTTGCCTTCTTTGATTTTTGCAGTAAACTTGAGTCCAGTGTAGGTTTTGCCGCCCATTTCTTATCAAAGACAGCTTCAAGCATTTTACCCATGTTTCCAACCTCACTATTAGGACCGTTGTAAACATAGCAGTTCTGGAACATTAAACGAATATCTGCTTCAAACTCATCAGCATTTGAATATTGATCATTTTCTAATTTCGAATTAATTGTAGACATGTCCATGGGACGTGATATGATCTTAAAGTAATCCGGGATTCCCAGTTTTTCTGGATCAACAGGTTCATAAAATGGATAGGCATATGGCCAGTGCACCTTCTTTCGTAACTCCCGTAAAGTTTCACGACAATAATTCAGTTCGATGTTCGATTTACTCTTTTTGCGTCTAATAGAAGTAGAATCGGGTAGCTCCTTTGATGTAGGCCTGATCGTTCTCTTTGGTCTCTCGGTAGCTTCGAACATTTGTTCAGTTGGAGTTTTACATGTCTTGGATGCAAGTTTCGAGGACTCTGCTTTTAGACCTTGCTCTTCCACAACTCCGGGCATCTTACTAAGCTGCTGACTAAACAAATTATTGAGTTCTTTGGCGAATGTCGAATATTGATGCGAAACGCCGTTATACAAGATGCAATTACTAAACACAAGTCTGACGTCGTTCGCGAAATCGTTTACACTTGAGTACTCGAGATTAGTAAGCTTTCGCTCTACAGTACCTAGATCCATGGGCTTCTTGACGATATCATAGTAGTCAGGGATGCCATATTTTACTGGATCGACGGGTTCGAGAAAAGGGAAAACTGACGGGTGACGTTTTAGGACCTTTAAAGCGGCATAACAATATTTATAGTGTTCACGGGCCATGCTCTCTTGAAACCAGTCATTTTTTAGCTTGTAAACGTTATCAGAACTAGACGGTGCCTCACTTAAGGTGTTGATCGGTTGCTTTTTGTTTTTGGCCATTCCAAATAAAAAAAAATATTATTACGATTGAGCTTCTCGATTTTTTTGAGGTGCGTAAATCTATTCGATTTTACATTATTTATATCAGTGACAAATCAATGACGGTTTATTGTGTCACACAAATGTACCCAAGTTATTTACTAAGGGTCAACTAGTTGACACACTGCAGCGTTCGTTGACATATTGTGTCACGCTTTTAATTATTATTAGCTATTATTAAATTTTTAAATTAAAATTATATAAATAAAGAGAAAATTCAAAATTTTTTTAAAAATTTATTATAAAATATTTTCTTTTTTTAAGAAAATTTCTATTAAAGTTAGTTATATATATTTTATTTATTATAACTAAAGATAAATTCCTAAAGTATTTAGCTTATAAAATTTCACAAATTGATTATTTATGTCTCTTTTTGAGAAACAAAATTTATAGTTTTTTACTTTAGTAAAGACAAAATTTAGAAAATATTATAAATCAAAAATTTTGATAATAAAAAATTATTTAAAGTAGTTTTTTTATAATTATTAATTTAAAATTTTTAATATTTTCTAATAAGAAATATTGAATTTTTGTTTTTATTTCTTCTTTAAAGATCTATCTTTAATTATAACTAGTATTATATATAAGATTTTTATTAAGAATTATTATATACATTTTTATATATAAATAGATAATAATATATTGTAGTTTTTTAATTGAATTTATTAATTATTTTATAAAAATCATATTTAATTAATGACAATTACATTATTTTAAGTTAGGTTATATAAAATATGACTTTTAATCTTTTATTGATTAAAATCAAAATTAATAGTTATATTTTGAAATAAATTGTAATAAGAAAAATTTCTGATTTAAATAATTATAAATATTTTATAATTTTTTTATTTTGAGAGATTTTAGAATTTCTACTTTTCTAATTTAAAATATTTTAATCTAATATTATATTCAAATAAAAAATTTATTAATAGAAATTAATTCAAAGTTATAGATAATAATAAAAAAGATAATATATTTTATTCTAAAGTTTAAAGATTTAATATTTAAAAATATTAAAGAATATTTATATTTTATTAAATATTAAATAAAATTAAATTAATAAAATAGTAAAAATTTATAGTTCAATACTATTTTTTTTTTGCTCTCTGTCAGGCTAGTTATGTATGCTTTATTAAACATTTGTAAGCTATATATATAATATGAGACGTTAAAGCTAATTCTTTAACTAACTCACTTGTCTAGGTTATTTTACCCTTCTAAGTACAACTTCAGGAGTAATTTATCACTCCATTAGGAGTTCGGGTGAACACCCTTCCAACTTCTAACATCATTGCCTGCAGAT